GCCGGTGTACTTCGCCACATGCGCAAGGTAGAGGCCAATCCCTAAAGAACACCGAAAACTATACATACAAACTTACAGATGCGATCCACGCAGCCTTTTCGATCTCAGTAGCCTCCCGAGTGATACCTTCAACTCCTGCGGTAAGGATGTCGTCCCTCGCGCCCTCCGTTGATATCCTGCTCAACGATGTGTTGGAGAAGCAGCTCGACATTCAGCGCACCATCTACAATCTGGTGGAGTGGGACAAGCTGATGAAGCAGTTCCAAACGCAGGCAGCGATTGCGACCATCCCGGAACCGGACTATCGCATGGCAAGAACAGGCGCCGGGAGTGATGCTGGGGGGAACCCTAGCCGGGAGCAACTCAGAAATGGCTTATTGGGACTTGATCCAAGTCCTAGGGCGCAACGCCCCAGCGGAATTTCGCGCTGTGCCATGCCCCTCGGAAGAGGTGGTCGACATTTTGGTCACCGGACTCTTCCTGCGCCATGGTCGAAGAGCCGAACGATAAATTCCCGACCAAGCACCATGTGGCGGAACTGCTTCAGGCCGAACAGCTGAAGGGGGTCCGCAACATTTACCACAGCATGGACTGGGGAAAAGGGCTCGACGCTATTTACAGCACCATGGAGGCCAAAGTGCGATGCATCGCCGAGGACAACTCCAAGAAAGGCATCAAACAGCTTCCCATTTCGGGTTACGTGTTGTGGGGAGGAAACGATGTTTTCGGCAACTGTGGGTACGTGGGGTGCAGATGGATCCATGAGAAACCGTTCAATAGGACGGAGGCGGGCCGGAAGGCCGCGTCGGAATGGCCAAAGGTTCAGAAGACCCGCGTGTTTGAGCAGCTTGACTTCTTCAAGGAGGCTGTTGGGCTTGGCCGCATTCGGGACATTACTTTCATCAGTAACCCGGACGCAGAGGACTATGGCGTCACATCCGATTACAATGAGGCTATGAACGGCTGCCTTCGACACCTTGCAGATGGGGACATCGACGATGGGACCCGCATCAAGGCGATCGACTCGATCGACCCGTCGGTCATGACATTGCTGGCTCACAGGTACGACGACGTGCATATGACATACAGCAATGCCAACCGGAAGGTTGTGTCGAAGTTCCTTCATGCGGCAATCAACACTCAGCTGTTGGCCCAACGGATCAGGTGCGCTCTCCCGGCGATCGGGAGCGTTGAACCCTATGTGAAAGGAGAACCGGTGGATCCTGTGCTGTTTGGCTGGCCCACATGTTTGAAGCTGGCCAAAGCCCTCCATGAATATGCTGCGATGGAGGAGAGGCCCGACTGGTCTCACGACCAGGAGGGCGAGGAGATCGACGCCGACGTGGCCGCCTGGATGAAAGTGGCTGAGGACGAGTCCTACAACGCCATGACCGTCGAGATGCGGGGGGCCAAGGTTGACGAGGCGGAGATTATCCTCGAAGCGGTCGACAAGGGAGAGGAAAACTCAGATGAGGAGTTGGACCGCGTTGAGATCGCCATGTCGCAGTACATTGGCCACACCGCGGAGCAGCACGGGTTGTCCGTTGTGCCTGACGATGAGGACAAGGACAAATGGCTCCTGCTGGGTGATGATACCCAGGATTTCGGGTGGGACCCAACCAACCTACCCCCAGGAGTGCACCGCGCTGCGCCGGAAGGCCAGTCGATTGTCATCGCGGAAGGAGACTTGTTTGACCAGGAGACGGTTGTGTCATTGGAACTGGTGTCAGAGGCAGATGACTCCGAGGCGGCAGGGATGAGTTCCATGATCACCGCGGAATCGGTAGCTTTTGAGTCCGTGACGGAGGGCACCAGCACATCCAAGCAACCGCCGACTCCGCCGCCGCCAAGGCGCGGAACTGCTGCAAAGAGCGCTGTGGGGGAACCCCAGTCGACTGGTTTCATCGAGATTGGAGACGAGTCTGACCCCACGGCCGCCGGTTCGGCCGACAAGCCCCAGGTGAAGGCGATGCCGAGGACTGCAAAGGCCAAAGCGCCGCCTGGCAACGCCGAGGGGGAACCCCGGTCGAAAAAGCAGAAGGACCCGATGCAGGAAAAGATCTTGTGGGAGGACTGGGCCAAAACCCGGAAGATCAACACCAAGGTCCCGGCCGAGGAGCAGCGCGAGTGGCTCGAGGTCGAGGACATGGGGCACGTCCCCAAGGTCAATATGGACCGCGATTACAGGCTGGTGGAATCGATTTGTCGGTGGAGTTCGACGCACTGGTCAGGCATTTGAACGACCGGATTGCAAACGTCAGGCCTTGGGAGGTGATGGTGTGCATCCGGAACAACAATACCCGGCGATTCCGCGTTATGGTTGGCCCACCTCCGGTGGGGGAAGCATCCTGGAAAGGATTGCCGTATCAGGCGTTGCGGGTGAGGGCCGTGCAAGGACACCACAACGAGCTCACAAGGAAATACACGGAGCAGGCGATCCTGACGAATCTGTATTCCTTTGACGAAGAGTTCACCGCGGCAAAGTACTTGGGCGGGCAATACCCGAGAGCGGTACGGCATCCCGAGCGGACGGATCTCTGGCGCAGGGGCTTCCCTGCTGTTCTCTACCATACCTGTGACCTCAGGTCGGCCGAGAGCATTTTCAAGTTTGGCCTGGTTCCGGGGGGCTATCCGAAGTCGACAGGCAGAGCCCACGTCTACTTCAACCCCACGCCACCCTGGGAGGCGCAAATGAGGAAGCTGGCGGGAACGCGAGCCGGAAGGCCCGTCACGATTGCTTTCGATACGGAGCTCATGATGCAGGACGGCATTCGACTCTTCACGAGCGATGAGGCGTTTATGTCTGCCGATTGGGTTGGAAATGCATACATTATTTACGCTTTCCACACCCGCAAGAATGAGTTCCTATTCTTCAATCGTGCGTACCCCGAGCTTCGCAAAGGTACCGCAATGCGCTGACGGTCCCCAAGAAGTCAATCCGAGCTTTTTCAAAAGTGAAAACACCCTGACCGCAGAAAAGGCATGGAGGCACTGGCGGACTGTCGTTGAAGGGACAAGGAACGGCAAATTGCTTCCTGGCGCCGTGACCGAGATTGCCACGATCGATGAGCTCGCTCCCCGGAAGGGGAAGTCGAACGAGAGACCTGCAGGGCCGACGTATCAGATCGCGCCTGCAACCCTTCCACGGGTGCCCGAGCTTTCCAGGGGAGAGAAAGGGCATGGTCGCGGCTGGAACAACCTTCGGAGCCGCTACCAGAGTGAGCCAGATTGGGAAGACCTCTTTTTCACGACCATGATGAAGAACCCGGTCGTGAAGTGCTGGAACAAGAGGTGTGGCAACCAGCAGATCGACGGCTACCTTCTGTGTCAGGAGTGCCGCTCGGATATGGTCGAGTGGACGGATGCCCGGATCGCCACCGAGGTTGTGCGGCTTGAGCGCACTGCGTCTCTCCAAAACATGGTCTTCTACTTGGAAGACCTCCAGGGGGGCGGTGGCAAGTGGATCCGCTCCAGGCACCACGCCAAGGAAGGCGACAAGCGGGGAGGAATCTCCGTCGAGGCGTCACTCTGAAAGACGGCAAAGACGCATCTGACCAAAGCGCAGGCAATGGGCTGTGAGAAGGTGTCCGACCGCCTCTCGGTCGACCCGTTCTATGCCTATAATTGCGCTACGCAAGGGTTGACTCCGGAAAGCCTGGATTTCCTAGGCAGGATTGCCCGAGCGATCGTTGCAGACCCTGGCCGCACAAGAGAGGAGCGGGAGAGGGGAGGGTCCCAAAACACCGGCGCGAAATTGGTGTTCATTCCCAGCCCCAACAAGCGCGACTCCCACGAGCTGAACGTGTCGACAGAGGTGTTCATTGCGCACCATGCGAGATTCTACACCATCATGCAATTCGCGGTCATGTGCGCGTATCGATTCATTCCCAACAATCAGGTGCCAATCATCATTGGGCAATATTGGGCACAGTGGACAATACGTCCCGGAAGGGAACGTCGAGAACATCTTGGAGGTCATGGTTAGCTTCATCCGCGCTTCGTGGAAGAAGCACGATCCTCAAGGGACGATCAGCACAGGCGAATTGGAGATCCCACAGTTCTCGTCCGGCCGTACGAAAAGCTATCCCATCGAGGCGAAGAGCACCCAGTGGAGGGCAATCACCAGATCCATCCGTCCCGAGCCCTACCAGACCAAGGGAAAGGGCAAAGGCAAGAGCAAGGACAAGGGCGGCAGGACTGGAGCTCCTGGAACTATGGGTGGTCCTATGGATGGGAGCAGTGGCGGCAGGGCCCCTGGGGATGGTGAGCACCCGCATCAATCACGAAATGCTTAGCTTTTGTTGCGGAAACCGTATCAATTTCATTGGTGATGTCATGTTCGTAACCTATTATCTTTCATCCATTGATGCCGCAACATTAGCTGTGCTATGTTTGCACGCCCGGCGGAAGCTGCGGCCGTAGGTCAATCCACGGCCGCCACCGCTGGCTGTCATTCCGATTTCGCCCAGCGGAAGCTGTGGTCGTGAGATCACCTCCGTTCGCGGCGGAAAATGAATTCAGTTTCAAGCATTCACATGAAAATCACATGTGTATTGCCCGACGGAAGTCGTGGTCGGCCGACTCGCTTGGCATGCTCCTGCAAAAGATCAAATGCATTGCAGTTGCAGCAGCCAGTGACGCAACAGGCCCACAACACCATGACTTGCCACTCATCACACTGAGGCTCAACGTCTTCATTGTCGCGACCTCAGAGGACTTTGCTTCAGGCCTGGGAGGGAAACATGTACAAAGTACTGTTCTCACCAACGCACCTCTGCAAAGCGGGGGGTGTTGATAGGTAGTGGCATTCCGACATGATACTGGCTCAAGAAAAATTCACTGCCGCCCGTGCTGACATCTAGGTAGATTCCACCTTTCAACAAAAATCATGATGGCACTTTCTCATCAAGTAGCACGGCCTAGTGCTGCTTGGGGCGGCTGAGAATAGGCATGTCAGGCATGGCTTGGTCTGCTTTGGCTTCGGTAACATGGGTCCGCAGGTCAAGGAGAAGACGATCGATTTGCAGGCCTCGGCCAACTTCCAGGTGACCATTACGGGGGACGACGATGATATGCCCAGAGATTCGGCGGACGCAGAAGGCGCGGGCGAGAGCAACACTTAATCCAAGTGGCGGGATTTGCGGTGGTGCGCATGCAGTGGGATTGAGATGATGCGATGTGTTTGAGTATTGTTTCTAACGTTTGTGTTGAGGTAAAGTAACCTTTGCTTGCTGCGTTCATCCTGTTTCTCCTGATGGGACTGCCATGTGCAAAGGAACTGCATCAAAATAGGCCGCCATGTTCCGAGTGCCCCTTTCAGGGCACAAAACTGACTTGGGTGCCACATGGCCTATTCCCCTAAGCAAAAGCAAAGTGAGAGGTTTACGCATATGATGCCCACACATGTATATATCACGCGCGTGCTTGCAAAAAAAAACACGGGGTCCATGCTTCGGGGTCCTCAGGTACCTCGTCTATGCACCATTTGCCTTTAAGCGAATGGGCTCAGACCTGCTCATAGCCTGCCGCTCTTTCGGCAGGGCAAGACCCGCTGAACGACACTACGGCAACGATGGTGCAGGAGGAGGAAGCGCCGAAGTTCTGGGCGAGGGGAAGAGAAAAGCAGGTTTAGTTTTTGTTTTGTCTGACCGGAGTTCAGGGTTCAAATGAATTGGAATGGATCCTACCTGTGCCTGTACATGCTACTAATGATGACAATGAATAAGATGAAGCAAGCCCCCCAAGACTGCCAAGACCCGTTCAATGAGCCAGTTCCCTGAGCTGTCGCTGCGACCAGGGGCTTCCAGCCTTTAACAGCATCCTTGGGTTGGAGTACATGAGCACCCAGTTGATGGTAGGCCGTCCCTCGGACCACGAGTCGCCGTTCATTGGTTCGGATCGTGTGGTCGGTTTGAAGCAACACGTTCAGGAAAAACACAAGTTCAGGGTTCACAATTTCTGACACAGAACATTTCACCAGTGAAGCCTAGGGCATCATGCGAAAACCAGTTCAGCCCCCCCGTATGCGAGGAGATTGTGGAGCTTATAGGTGCTGCCCTCACCGAGCGCGTGAAGTTGCTGGAGGCCAACCTTGGCCGGTTCTCAGGTTACCCTTTTTGGTTTGGATTGGGGGTTTGGGGGCCATACCCAAACCACAAACAACGCAGTCGAAGAAAGTTCTGAGAATCTTGAATCGGGGAGGGGGGGGGGGGGGAATTTGTTTTGTTTGTTGCTCTTTCTGTCAAAGACATGGACTCGAGGCACACCTCGCCCCCTTCCCCCTCAAGGTATGGATCTTGCAGGCAATCACAGCTCATGACCATGTGGAGTTCATGACCATGCAGCGGACACATCTCGACATGGCAGGCACAAGAAAATTCCGCAAGTAGATGTAAGAGGGCTCCTTAAAAAGATACATTTTGCCCATTTGAAACATGGCTTTTTCCACCAAAATAAAGGGAAACCACCATTTACAAGGCAATGTTCAGGTGTATAATGTCAGGATCCCTGTGTAAGTTTGCTTCGCCTCTCCTTGTGGATGCTTTGCACCGTTTGCACCCAATGCCCAGCTTCGGGCGCTTGGGTCACGCGAATCCACCTGGTTGATTCCCGGGTCAGGGCATCGTCACCTTCGCGGTGTATGCGTATCTCCGGCGCGGCCTGCTGGACGCCGAGCCTCGGAAGCACGGGAGAGACTGTGGATGCCGATGAATCTCTGCGAGTTGTGGTTGATAAACTGAAAAGCCCCAACTTGGTGCAAAGTGATTTTGTCCATCCGCAAGAGGACCTGCGAGGCTGCACGAGAAAGAGAGAAAGAGAGAGAGAGAGAGAAAGAGAGAAAGATATGGCATGATATGGCTTGGTATCTCCTGCCTCCAGTTCTCACTGAGGACAAGCTCACGGTCGCCTCCATGTTGGCGCTGAAGATCTTGGTGCGCTCAGGACCAGACGAACAGCTGACATAGGGAGTCTGCAGGTTTAGTCATACATGTTGAGTTGGCAATCTTCTGGGGACCTCCCAGTCCAAACTCACACCGGCGACCCCAATTTGTCCATGTTGCTTTGGGCAACAAACAGTCATGTCCAGCAAGCACAGAAGCTGGTGGAGTCAAAATGGCCCAGCCCTTTGCCAGCTTCAAATCACTGGGAAGCGAGAGGAAATATCGTTATTTTGTGTGGAAGAAGGGCCAGCGCAAAATGTTATCTCACGGCCTGCAGCTTTTATGCAGGCTATGGTTGCGTTGTTTTGTTTTGTGCAGCATGGTTTTGCAGAAAGCATGAGCTTGTGGCGAAACTATTCTAAACCACCAGCCCAGCCCAGGGAGATCAACTCCCAGAGATGTCTGACGTCACTCCGGCGCTTATCTTTTGTGGCATGCCTCGCCGAATACCGCAAATTTGGGAGCGTGTTGGGCGCAACCAGCGTGTCCCTTGTATGTGCGTGGAACGCAGGCAACTGCTATTGTTCGGTGGTAGAGTGTTCCCCCTGGACCCCTTGTGGAAACCCTTCAGGCAGCAAGCTGGACAGGTGACAGTAAAGCACCTTTTACCAGCAGGGGCGGATTTGTGTGGATAGTGATCTGGCAAATTCTGGCCACTCACGTTGATATCCTTAGTTGGGTGAAAAAGGCTGCCCGTGAAATTACCCGTCAAGTCATGGAGCCATGCGTCGGTGCCAAATAATACTTGGTGATCAGTGATTTGGCATGGAGCCCCTTGGCATTGTCCAAAGAAGTAACTTGAGTCCGTATGCCTGGCCATTCCGTCATGATGACCTGGGCATGCCTTGTTCTGAGCCACTTCCTGCTTGGCGCAGCTTCTTTTGAGAAGGGAAGTTTGAAATAAAGACATATGTCGAGCTGCACAACCCATGATTTAACCAACCTCGCGCTGCTCAGACAACATCATCCGTGATGGTGGTTCAGTGGGCATCCGCAAGTTTTACTTTGGAATTACTCTTTCCATTTGCCTGAGATGATTGCTTAGTGTTGTTGTCCTCTGGGTTTGAAGTGAGAGTAGTTCTGATGGTCTGTGCGTTGCCACTTCAGCCCCAAATCTGGGCGAATTCTACCGAGCTCACCTGAGACGAGAGCTCGCCCATGAAGTCCTTCGGGGCTTTTCCTTATTTCCAGTTTGCACATTCCGGGACTTCGCCCAGAGAAATGGGTCGCGGCCCCTGGCTTCTTGGTTTCCCTGTGTCCCTCATATCCCCTCCAAACCCCAAGTTGCTCGCGCAAGTCTCGCAAAAGAGAGGCCGAGCCTTGAAGCCAACGGCGCGAGGACAAGTCCAGCCCGAGGAGCTGAATCTCTTGATCCGCGCGCCGGTGGATCCCAATCCTCCGCCGATGCCCGACACGACTCGCAGCCTTTCGGCAGGGCCAGCCTAGACATTGCCTCCACTTTCTGGGCATTTGGGCGTGTCTTTCTTCAGGGGGCCCCCGAAAATGGTGGTTGTGCTGTTGGGTTTCCTTTGAGACCACACCCAAAACAAGACACACAGAACAAAACAAGAAGGGTACCCTCAGAACCAAACACACATACACGCACACATAGCCACCAGAGACCGCACAACAAACGTTTGACCAAATGGCATGTAAACCCCCGGAATCCTTGCGGTCATCACCTTCCAGTGAATTTGGTTTGAGGGCTTGACTGCTGAAGGTTGGCTTGCCTTTTCGATACGGAAGAGGGCGCGGGACATTCAACAGGGCTGTGCGGGAATGTGAGATTGGCTCAGCGTCAAGGGCTTCATGGATAAACCCGCCTCAACATACGCACTGAATCAAACGGCGAACGCAAGGATCCAGGATTTCCGTCGCAAAGCCCAGAATGTGGGTGCATCCTGCAATCACTTGTGGTGTGGAGGTACCAATTACGTACTGCAGCCAAAAAATACATTCCCGTCAAGGCCAAAGACATTTGTGATTCTTGGGTGTTCGCACTGAGTGCATTAGCTGACTGCCACCATTCTGCCCCCATAGCTCCTGTACCTGCTTCAGCTGTTTCACATGTTTATTTCCCAGTTCCTCTATGGTTTATCACCGTCTCAATCATTTCCACTTTACAGGTTATCAGGCAGCCAGGTCATAGGGCCTTAGTGAGCGAGGCTGGCTCTCGGAGCAGCAGTGGGCGCAGCTTAAGACGCTGGAGCAGATTTCGGTGTTCAAGACGGGGTCCCATTCCTTGACCAACACCATGGAGCAGGCGATTGGGTGGGGGGCGGGGGGTGTGGGGGGGACCAGTGGGGGACCAAGCGGGGGACCAAGCGAGGGACCAAGCGGGGGACCAAGCGGGGGACCGAAGGACCGGACCGTGCCGCCGGTGGAGCCATGACGCTCGACATACATCCCCCGGTTGGATTCTCCAAATAGGGAAATCCCCCAAGCTTGTGAGTGTTTTGCAAGGCCCGGAACGATTTGACACGGAAGTGTGCCCTGTCATGTGTGTTCGGAATTGGGCAATTGTTGACCCCTGAATTAATAGACTCAGGAGCTGCGATTCCATGTGTGCGAAACCAGGGTTCCTGTATGTGTTTTTCGGCCCGTTGCAAACATCACCTTTCAGGCAAGATGAGTTTCTTTTGGAGGCGTGATGTTTACGGGAACCGCTGAAAACCCTGCACATGAACTGGCTTCTTAACCTTGTCCTTGGGGACGATCCAATGAGCAGGGTTGTCAATCTGACCACGAGGCAACGAGGAGGATCAGGTAGAGCACAGGGGGCGCATCAGTTTGACCAAGAAGGCTGTGTGTCAGCATGCCACATGCTCCTCTCAGGGTTGATGTCCCCTTCTGCTTGCTCATGATGCTTTTCAGCAGCCGCGTAGATTCCCTGCCTGGAGTCTTCATGACCATTTAAAAATGGGTCCATGCCCCCATTATTTTGGGCAATGACCCCATTTTTAAAGGGTCATGGAGACTCCAGGTAGAAGAGATTGATCGGAGTCAGGCAGCGCACTGGGCATTGCCAGGACTCCCTTGGCTGGAAGCGGTGGTTCGCAGAGGACGGGGGGCGGGGGCCCTTGGCAACGGATGCACATTGTAGGGTGGTACATGATGGCTAGTAGCGCATTGCGATGCCTGTGCAGTTTTCCGTGGGAACGGCAAGGGCAAAGACATCACGGGGTGTCCAGGTTCCAGAACTTGATTGCACCTAACGCAAAGTGCCGGTTTCAGGCAAATTGTGGTGCTGTTGCCGCGATTCTTAAGTCTGGGACTGTTGTGACCTGGGCTGATCCAGATCACGGCGGAGACAGAAGCCAGGTGCAAGAGCAGCTGAGCTTGAATCTCGGGCTGGATGATAGCCGCTGCTTAGTGGGACGAGTCAGTTTCTGAAATCACATTACTTGATTCACATTTGTGTCCCGGATGTTACATGGAGCTCGCTGTGCAGAAATCAGCTTTTCTCCAGAATGTGATGTTGTCCCAGTTTGTTTGTTGCTGATCATAAGTGCAGCTCTGAGTCTCCATGCAAACGTGTTTGACTTGATAATTCCTTCATGATAGCTGTGCAGGTGCATGCGTGCGACTTAAGAAATTGACACGCGTTCTTGGCTAGTTGCCCGTTTGCAACCCGTAGCTTGTGCATTGTGGGTTTTGACCAGCATTTTTTTACGTCCGAGGGTCGGAAAATGGCATGTCGCCGCCCTCTGAGTGGGGTGAAAATTGAATGGTAGGCACGAGAGCCCTTGAAGCACCCGTCAGGAGCGCGCCGAGTCAGCGGACTTGCCCCGAGAGTGTCGGGAGCTGCCGCTCAGCGAGACGGGCTGACTCCCAGGCCTTTTGTATGCCTGGTTGCCACTGGTTGCCTATGATAAATATGGTTGAACGTATGAACGTATGGTTGAATGATGATTCCCGGAGAAAAACAATATGGAAAGCACATGCTCCAGTGGCCCATGCCCGGACTACTCTTCCAATCATCACCCAGCAATTTGTGGGCCGCTTGGATTGCCATGAGCAAAACACTGGCAAGAACTTGGGATAGAGAGGCGAGCGGTCTGTGACAGCAGTACCTAGCTGTCGGTTTCATGTAACTTTTCCTAGGGCCCCCCAACCAACAACACCCCGCCAAACACCCCTCCAGTGTGTATCCATTCTAGTGTTCTTTGGTGTGTGTGTGTGTGAGTGTGTGTTTGTTTTTAGGGGGTCCAGTGATAGTTACACATGGTTCTTCGGGTGTGTATGAACATAGAGGGCTGCCTTCAAGCAGTCGGGAATCACTGGGCTTGTGTTGGCATCATGGCTCCCTCAGACGCACAGCCGGATGCACCAGCATTTATTTAGACACTCAGCAACGAACTTCTGAACGGAGCTAGGGAAGGTTGTTGTTCCTGCTCTGAGGTCCTCATTCCATCGGCTTTTCCTGCTGCGAGTCTTGCGACCCGATCGCATCGGCGCAGCGCTCACCCAGTTTGTTCAGGACCGGCACAAGAGTTTCGCCCCGATTGGTTTGTAGCCTTGTTCCTCCTTCCTACTGTCGCCCCCCCTCCCCCCAATAATGCTTAGTGAATGAAACAATCAAATTAAGGCGTATTTCTCATTTCGACCGAGAAACCAACTTGCAAGTTGAACGAACGAGCTGCGGCCAGAAGAAATTGCAAAGGCACTCATGCAGAATTGTTGGACAGCATGTGTTTGAAGATTCAAAGGTATGCATGCGTGAATAGTTTCTCTCAAGTGTGAGATCGGAAGGTTTGGCGGAGTTGTGAGACCAAGTTGTCTTTGGCTATTGCCACAAGCTTGTTTTTGGTGCTAGTACACCCTTGCTTTGGGTTGGCTGGCAAAAGCGGCATCACTCGCCATGGTTTCTACACGTGGGCGTTAGTACAAATCTCAATGTATGATTTTGTACAGAGTGCCAGACTTTGTTTTTCGTCCAAAGATGAGGCACACTTACAGCGTCGGCCAATTTGCGAGCCGACATTTCGACACGCACTCAAATGACCTGCTGCAAAGGGTGCTGTGAGCGCCAGGACAACCTTGGCCCCGAGTTCATTGAGCAGAGCCCCTTTGACATGATGCAGACCTATGAAGAGTCCACCTGCAACACGCCCATGTTCTTCGTGCTTTTCCCAGGCAGCATTGGATTTGATCTGGCATCAGGCATTTGGGGCTTCCCTTGAAAACCAGCCAAAAACGGGTTCCCCACAAACGAAGACCCCCATGGCCCAGATGCCCCGGCGAGCCCCATGGAGTTTTCGCTTACCGTGAGGCGTGGACCCCACCTCCATGATCGAGGCCTGCGCGGGTCGCCTGGGCCTGGGCGAGGGCAACGGCAAGTTGGCCAACATCTCCATGGGCCAGGGCCAGGACACCGCCTTCCCCAATAAACTATGCCGCGAAGCGCGCTCTGTTTTTTCCCCGCTCGGGGCGAGCGCCCGGAAAGCGGCGCCGGGCTCGAGGTTGTGTCGCTTTTGCGGATCCGGATCGCAAACCGGATCTGCATGGGGATCCAAATTCGCCTGGCTGCTGAACGGAGTGGCCATGGGACCTTTTCTT